TGTACAGATTGATAAGGTTTGTCATCTCTTCACTTGCGCAGGCTTGAGCGTTGGTATATTTTAATTTACAAGATGACTTCCAAATTATTGAAACAGGACTTTTTTAACTTTTCAAAGCCGTCATAATCTCAGGTCACATAACTGGCTACAGTTCAAAGTGCCTGCTATCAGAACAGAGGCTGGAAAGCTAAGCCTGTTCTACTATGGCTCCTGGTCTTGGAATGATGTGCAGACCAAGCTCAAACTTCAATCCCTCATCTCTCTAAATGATTTTAAACAATAAAGGAGGTGGTCACTGCTAACTGCAGCTGCTTTGCCAAATCTAATACTGTTGTTTCTGTGAACAGTAGGTCTACTATGTAGGGTATTATGTAATACCTAAATGTTTGTGTTGTTGTTGTACAAATGTTGTCGTGGAGACTTGTTTTGCTGTGTTTTCTGTTGTACCTAATGATGTTGTTGTAATTGGTTTCTTATTATTGCTTGGTTATCTGTTTGATGCAGCTATCTGACCCTGTCTTGATTTGATCTCACTTGTAAAAGAGGCTTTAACCTCAACGTAACTTTCCTAGTTAAATAAAGGTTAAGAATAAGATAATTTGGTGTCTCTTCTTCAGGTTTCACCAGTGAGCATGACTACATGCAGACTGTTCTACTGTTAGCGTCCATTAAGGCAGAAAGCAGGTGGAGTTTTTAAGCATGATGAACCGTGTGTAGCTATTTATTATTAAACATATTGGCATTAACTCAACAGTCACTCTGTCATCTCAGTGTAGCTTACTGACTTCACAACTAAGGATGTCCCCCCGTCCCTTAAAATCGCCTACGGAATCGTCCCGTATTTGAGGACTTTATAGCGCATCCGGTTTTTCCCGTATTTCTGAGTTGTCTTTAATTCAGCATCCCATGCAAATCATCCCACCATTTTCTACCCCTGACTGAGTAATCCTCACTGCCATGGTTGGTTTCATTTATACCATCAGGTTCAGGGCCAGTCTGAGTCAGATAGGGGCGGATCTGAGTCGAGTTGAAACAACCGCGGTTGCAGCAGCTCCAGAACACAACCGCATCCGCAAAAGTACCGACGAGGACGAGAGTGGGAGAAATCTAATAACTTACTTGATGAGTGTCAAACAAACGTCACAGTTTGTCGGCCAGTGTTCTGTGAGCTGAACGGTGGCTGTCAGACTGTGGCAGTGATTTAATAAAACGTTGCCTACTCCGTATTTGTATTGTAATGGAAATTTGTCTCTTAGTGAGTCTTCTGAAATAAAGAGTCCAATCCAGACGTCTTTTAAGGGTTTTATTCTTTGCAAAGGGTCAGACAAACATACAGAGTGCAAACAGTCTGCAGAGTGTAAGACAAAGAGCCAGTGAAGAAACAGGTGACTTTATACTGTAAGGGTATTACGCAGCTATCCAAGGGAGGAAGGGAGTAGCGACCAGCTGTCCTGAGATGAAGGCCTATCAAGGACAGTCTGATAAGAAAACTCTCTAACGAGCATCTTTCCCATGGGAAACTTCACCTAGCTGTAATATAATAAAATAATCTAATACCACACAGTGAAACACTGATCTATTCTGATGAAGCATGCAGGGTGAAACAGTAAACATAGTAAAATATCAAATTTCCATCACAGCCTTTCTAGTCTTTTCAAAGCGCTTTTACGCAACACTCACCATCAGCGGCGTCGTTAGCCCCGGATGTTTTTGAAAAGCCCCTGATCTCAGAAGGATTTTCAAAAAATAAACAACAAAAGGCCGAAAATTGAAATTTTCATTTCAAAATAACATCTGTCAAACGATCACTGCATTGACTGAGATAGCCATATTAATTATTTGTCCTGTTGTTGAACAGAGCATCGCTTTGGACATCAGCCTGTTTCTTTTCTTTACACATCGGTATTTATTAGTTTTATAGCGATGTCCGACGGTGAGAGTGTCGCCGGTGAAACTAATCTTTCACTCAGCAGCTACCAGCTCTTATTTATTTTTGAGATGCACAGAGAGAGAATATGGTGGATAAAATAGTTCTGTTGGGCTTTACGCAGAATTGAGCCTTCAAGTCCTTTAAAACCACAGTGAAACAAAGATCTGTTTCAAGATACAAAAAAATGCGTTGTGCTCAAACAGAAACTAACATTAACTTACATTCATACAGTGGTGGTAAAGTGGCAACCCGCTCCCGAGTCACGCATGACGCACAGCTTCCTCTGTGTGCAAGTTTACCTGCTTCAACAACGAGCTGCTCTCGTGTTACTGTCACAATAATTCTTTGCGTTGTGAAGATTATTTAGATGCTTCAGGAATAATCAGATTGTTTTGGCAGCCTGTGCTGCTGCAAAACAAGCGGTTTGGTTGGCTCCATATCTCCATAATAAAAGGCACAGGCAACAAAAGTTTGGCTGGGCAGCAAAAGTGATATTTTAAAGTGATCTTACAAACACCTTCATGGAGATTTAAAAAGGAAATAATTGTAGAAATAGCTAAATTACAGATAATCAGCGTCTTCACTGCATTTGCAGGAATAGTTTAATGGGCTACTTAAAAAAATAAACTCATCAAGTTGCCTATTCTAGACATTTTTACTCTTGTAGCCTTTCTTGACTTTTCCTCATGTGAACACATAGGGGCTGTGATCCTGCACAACAAAACATGCAAGAATTAAATCCCCACATAACCGTGGATAGTAGTGGTGCAACGCGGTATGGATCCCTTCCACACGGTGCGGATTGATTTCAAAGTTTATGATGATTTATCCTGTTTGACCTCTCAAAATATCCTTTATTCTGAAAATGTCAGAGAAGTTCTGTGCAGAACTTTGAATATAAGCAGAATAACTGCTGAAACACAGTAGCTGTTAAAGTCCAGGAGTTTGTAACTGAATTAAAACTGATTTATTTTATTATTGATGAGGTAAAAAGGTGCCGCATGCACATTTAAAGAGGTTACCTCGATCAGTCAGGCCTGTGTGTGTGTTGATTCAGCAGTGATGATATTGAAAGTTACATATCTGAAAGCTGAGAGCTGCTCTGCATTATATTCAGTTACAGTTTTAGATTTTAAATTGTTTTATTAAACCTTTATTAAACCAGAAAAACTATTTTCCAAGAGGTTCTGGCCAAGGCAGGAAGTACTACAACATTTAAGATGGAAATAAATAATCAGTAACAAGGTCATAAAATATCAAAATGTTCTTCAGCAACAAGGACGATCAAAGGAGTAACCAGTCATAACATCTGAAGGCAGAATTGAGCATTCAAGTCCTTTAAAACCACAGTGAAACAAAGATCTGTTTCAAGATCCAAAAAAAGGCGTTGTGACAGAAACTAACATACAGTGGTGGTAAAGTGGAGTCACACCCGCCCACATATTGCTTAACAATCTATAGCAGGCTATAGAATTGCATGATTCCATACTATAGAATTAACAACAGGCTGGATAAAAACTGAAAACAATAAATAAATAAAATAAATATATTTACTGTCCAATCATAAAAATGGCGTTGAATAAAATTGAGAAATGTTTGTAGATTATTTCCGTGTGGTTTCATTGTTTGGATGGTATTACTGCAAACAGTGACAATATTTTAGCCAGAATCTGTGTTCACACCCTCCTTTGCAATTAGGCAGTTTCTAACCCTAATCCTTCATGAGCAATTTCACAGCAAGAGCAGGAGCTCTGCGGAGCTCAGTGAGCTTTTTCTGTTCAGAGTTTTACTGTAGAGGTTCAGTTTCTCAAGCCTGCACAGAAACAGGGCAGGAAACGTGCAGTAAAGGTTGGGATCTATAAAAACATCTTGACGGGAGAATGTGCGTCCTGTAAGTAAACTCTGAACCATCCGTACGCACAGAAAGAGGAGAAATGGGAAACGGCGACTGACAGAGGATGAAACGGTCTGAAATGAAGAGGCCTACTGCTGTGTAAAATAAATCCTAATATTACACTGTTAGAAATTACCAGCATTTCACAATAATTAAAAGTATTATTTTACAGTAACTTGTTGTAAATGAGTTTCCCTGTAATATCCCGATGAATACCTGTAAAAACTACAGTATCCTTGGATTTTACAGCATTTAACTCTTATTTTACAGTAAAATCTTGCTGTTATATCACAACAAGGTCTGTAATATCACAGCAACACAGTGAAAAAATTAAGGATTTCACAGCATTAAACAGTATTATTACATTGTGCCCTTGGAAGTCACATGACATAACCGAACTGTTTTGAACTGAAGGCTCCGTCGTGTCCCTCTTCTATTCCGGGCTGAATGGAGAAGGTGAGCCGCATGCATGTTTGCAGCACTTACACCCATGTTATTTTAATATGATAATAATATTTACTTTCAAATAAATGTTTATTGCATGACACAGTTCACATTTTGTTAGCAAGTGCCCGGAATTGTTGAAAGTTCTCTCACAGCATTTGCTAATAGTAGTAATGTTAGTAATGAGGAGAGTTTCGCTACAGTTTTTCATGTCACTATCCCCGTTTAGACAAATCTGGTGTTATAAAGTTTATAAAACCAATGATGGGACAAACATTACTATTTATGTGTGCACATTTCTGTAATTAGTCAAGGTTATCATAGATTAGCATTGCTAACTGTTAGCTGTTTAACTTTAATAACTTAGTGATTCAAACGGTGATTCACCGTCAAAAAAAGATAGTGATTCAAACAACACAAAATCACTCTCCAGAACTTTCTCATTCACGGTTCCATGCTGGTGGAATTATCTTTCCACCCTCATCCGGAATGCACAATCCAGGTCCATGAAAAAATATTTTTCCAGCGGATATCCTAGTTACAACATGACTGAGCTAACTGGAGTAAGTTAGTCTCATGTCGTGTTCGACAACGGGAGGGTTTTAACACTAGAGTTCCCACTTGTCCTGATATGAATGAATAATAATTGTAAAAGTTGTAAATGCACTTTACATTGAGTGAGCAATCTCAAAGTGCTACAGTAAAAAAAACACTATAGATATACCACTATCATTTTTGACATATACGGCTAAAATTAAATGAAAATCAATGATCATAATCTGCATTCAAACTGAAATTCTTATTGTTGGTTGCCTTTGTGTAATTTCTCCTTTTTCTTTTCTTTTCTTTCCAGGTCATCCTGTTCAGTGTCAGGCTAAGAGTGAGGAGAAATAGATTAGGTAGATGACTAGTTAACATGCATCCACAATGTTCAACTGTAAATTCGTTGGCTGTGAGCATGTGTCTGAGAATGTGTGTAACTATGTTTAGTACACAAAACTGCATAGCAATGCCCCCAATTATCACTACCAGTGTGGGGTGCCTGACTGCTCACGGAGGTACAGAAAACACACGGGACTGCAAATTCATATGTATAGGCAGCATAGGTCCTACCTGCAGGCTGCTGGGCCTATACTGCCTGACACATCAGCTCTACCACCCTTGAAATGCTTGAGGCTTGTGCATTTAAGTGTGACACTTTGGCCTCTCTTATTAAACATTTGAAGACGCACATAAGGGGAGGAATGGTAACTAGATGTCCATTTAGAGGTTGTGATTGCACGTTCACACACGTGATGACTTTTGCTTCACATATTTCCAGAAAACATAGATGTGCATCATGTGCAGTATTCAGAGGCTGCCGAGGAACACGCAGCACCTGAAAATAGTCCCCGTTGCATTCTACGGGGACTATTTTCACGTGCTGCCTAATATCACTGCGCCCATGGTACGTTTGCAACGTTCCTTGATTATTACGCCAGAATGAGAGTATAGTTCCATGTCACATCAGCCTAGAAAATTGCCATGTTTCATTTTCCGCTAGTTTTATTGCACGTTCTAACTTGAGAAGAGACAACTTTTAAATAGGAAAAATTCCGGAAATCTTAGTCATTTTGAGGGTGAGATGCTAATGGTCTAATCCGATCCAATGATCTATGCTAGACTGGAGCTATACGTGGTATTGCTTAATTCCCCAAATGGTGGAATATCCCTTTAATTAGTTTGATAAAATACACCTGTGTTTACAAAACTATTACACTGTAACATAACTTCTGTGGGATGGGTCTATTTAAACAGTCACAACAGGGAATCGAACTGCTGACCCTTCAGTCATGAGACGACTTGCTCCAACTTCTGAGCTACAACCGTCCCCAATAGTATTGTTACCCTGTGATGCCCACTCCTAGGTGTGTCAAGTGGGGCCCAGCAGATTGGCCAGAGGGGGAGACCGAGGCAACGTTGGAGAATATGAAGAGGGATCTGCTGAACATCTACTCAGGCATGCCATCTACTCTCTTTTTGGGTAATTTTGTTTAGACTTTAGTAATTGGTCAAGATCTGAACACTGTGTGTGTTGGGCGGCTACTAGACCAAATTGTTACTTGGGTACTAACAATACATTTGTATGTCTATATACACAGAGGAAGGAATGAGTGGGGCAGGGAGAGCAGAACCAATGATGGAAAAGACATACGTCATCCTGCGGAAATACCTTAACAAAGTGCCTGCTGCAGCGATGTCTGAGATCAAACAGGAATGGCCATTTCTCTTCTCTCAGAAATGCCTATCCTCACACTTTGGCCTCCTGACGGACGTCGATGTCCTTCAGAAGCTACAGGAGGCAATTAGTCGACGAGGACAGACCATCCTGGATTACTGTGCAACACTGGACAACCCCAAGATCTGTGATGTTCTGGCCTGCTATGATCCAGACTCTGACAAGGCTGCCTGCATCCTGCTGCTCCTAATGTTGTACTTCAAAGAGCCGAAAGAGAGTTTGATGCTTGCAGTTGATGTAAGATTTTTTTATTCAAATATTTAAAATGCAAAATGTGTGATTACATTATCAACATTTACCTTGCATGATTTACTACCTCTGACCAATGAACAATATTTATCCTTTATCCTAAATCCATGCTATTGTGTGTTAACTATACTACAGCCATGTGCCACTGCTGTGGACGTCAATACTGCAGAACTCCCCAGCACCCCCTGCTTGATCATTCAAGGTAATGTTACTATGATCTAGTATCGACATTTATCGACAACTCATTATTTTCTTTTCATTCTAGAAATCTACATGACCACAATAAATAATAATAATTATGATCATAATAAGAATTACATTTGCATAGCCCTTTGTGTCTTAAGCAGATCGCAAAGTGCTCATAACACATAATGTTGTATCTGTTCATATCAGGTGACATGATGAAGCCCTCTGGATGGCTTAGAGGGACATGTCGTGATGGGCCCACACCCTTTTTTTACACGGAGTAGCTGCTTTCTTCAGCAGCTATTACGTCTTCAACCTTGAGTATCCTGCCTCTGGATCGTCGACGCTGGAGTTCATTCAAAGGTATTTTATAAAGATCACATTTAATCTTGTAATTCACATTATAGTACAGGCTTCTTGAGGTCTAAAATGCTGACAAACGAGGTACCTGAGGCTAGCCTGGTAAGAACATCCTGATCTTGCAAACTCATTCAATTTCGCTCTGCAGATCAGTCTGGTTTTCTACACGTTATGCTGACAAATACCTGCTGGTCCAATCACAGTTATTTATTTTGTTTTGGGGCAGGCTATGTGATGATGATTTCAAAACGTCTATTGTGAAATGCGAATGTATTGAATGAAGTAGATGAAATTTTCTTTAAAAGCAGAACAAAATGCTCTCAGGCCCTTAATTGAAAAGGATGTGTTTGTCATACTTGCAACAGGTTTTGGTTTTAATTTACCAACTGGCCAATTGCGTGAAGATGCATTTCAGTGGCGGCGCACGTTGATATGGCCTCTCATAGTAGAAAATCAACCACTTTGCCTCAGGCAAACCTAACCTGAGGCACCTTGGCTAAGAGTGGCCAAATTATGGTGAGAGTACGATCTAACAAGTTTGGATTTTAAATCTATTAGGTTTGATGTGGGGAAAAAGCACAGCAAAAAGCGCACCTTGATAAATGCTGTCTGCAATACATACTGTAAGTCTATTTAAAACTGAAACTATCTTTGCTTATTAACAGGTGCTTCCTGGGCATCAATCCTGAAAGAGGCTCAAAGACCAAGAAGCGGACAACATTGAACCCTCATGTGAGCACCCTTTTGAGGAAACTTATTGACTTTGAGTGGGCATCATAATTTTTGTTTTTTGCAGCGGTAGTTGTCAGGCTCAGTTTTGAGTAGCCTTGTTCTTTTTGTAATTTTTCAAGACAACTTTGCACTACAAGATTTTTACACAATGCTGTTGCATGTGGACTCATTATAATGTTTGAGACTGAGAGGAGCGCCTCACCCCTTTAAGACATTCCTTCATCGCTCTCTCCCTTGCTCTCTTATATTGCCATGAAGGCCTCATTCCCATCCTGTCCATTACTGTTATTGTGACACAGCTAGTTGAATAGTTGAATTGCAAGTTTGCACAATTTCTCTGCATTTTCTGCATTTTAAGATGGCTTTTATGACTAGAAAGTTGAATTTCTTGAACTCTTGAAGTTCTTGGCATCTGCTGCACATTGAAAAATATTTATTTGTTAATAAATATGCCATTGGGCTAACATTGAATTTACCTCAGAGTTGTTTGTTGGGGGGAGGGGGTTAATTGTACAATTCACAGTAAATGGAAGCTTCATCTGCATTACTTTTACAGTACGTTACTGGACAATTTTAGCATGACTTCCACAGTATACATTGTAAATTCACAGTAAATTATTGTCAACTTGTACATTACTTTCACAGTACACACTGTAAAAGTACAGGGCCTTGTTGTAATGATGTACAGCAAAAGATTGTAATTCCCCAGTAATGTACTGTAATATCACAGTAATTCCTTTGTCATTGAAGCTGTGAAGTTACAGTATACAGTTGTGCTTTTACAACAATGCATTGTAATATCCCAGATATAAAATTACAGTAAATTGCTGTGAGTATATTTTACAGTATATTGCTGTAATCCTTACTGTGAAAATCATGCAAAATTTACAAATTCACAACGAAAAATTTTGCAGTGTACCTCTGAGTAGCCTATTACAGGCTTAAAGCCTTTCTGAATAAACATACTCCCGTTTGACTGATTTTTGCAGCTACAAAAAGATCCAGATTCGGGATCATAAACCCAAACAGAGATTCTGTTTCTAAAAAAGAAGCCTCAAATGTTGGACACTTTAATCAGGAATCAGATTAATTAATACTTACATGTAGCTGTTTATTCTCCTAAATAAGGTGAACAGGAGGACAAATTACATTTAAACTGATGCCGTTTTCAGTGAGTCAGTCCAGCAGATACGAGAGCATTTCATATATTATCAGATGTCCGTGGAGCCAAACGCTGTCTGCATGTGGATGTGATGCTCTGCTTGTAAAACACGTTAGCCTATTTATTTAAGTTTATATTATTTAATTCCTATTTTAGTTTCTGAACACTAAAATCGGGCCCTAATTAATTTCTCATTGAAGTGAAAAGGAGTCACAGTCACATTTAAAGAGGTTCCTTCCCCAAACAGAGCAGGTATTAAAGAAGCTGATCTGAGAGCAGCAGCTACAGAATGCGTGATAGTCTTACTGCATTATATTCTATACATTTATTATATTTTTAATTGTCTGTTGCCTGTTCTTAAAGACTTTTCCATCATAAATTGGTGAAGAAATTTTCACCATCATGCAGGAAGTTATATTTTTAATGCTGCCAATTTAAAATCTCGCCTAGGGCGTCCAGTACCAACGCTTTCAGAAAAAGCGACAAAGCGTAGTTATTAGACGCGTGACACGTGCCGGCTGCGTCTCATAGACGCTCTGGGGCGTCCTGTACAGCCAGGAAGTGCTACGTTCGTGATAAAGGTGTTGACAGCCACCCCCCTAAGCCCCTATCCTTACCACAACCATCAGAAATGTTTGTACCTAAACCTAAAGTCACTGACTTTATGCCTTGTGTTGCTGCAATGTAGCAAACGGGGGCGTTTCATACGGACGCTGAAGGGCAAAATCCTTACGCTTTGTCACGCTGTCTGAAAGCTTCAGTTATGACGCGTTGAAATGAGAATGTGTTGGTCTGTCTGTTATCGATGACATGGATCCAGTTTGAGCTGTGAGGACGGCGTTCCAACAACTCACTCACGCTGTTTATTTGTTCAGGACATTTCAGCAACAAGGCAGCTCAAAGTGCTTTACATAAAACATGGTGGTGGAACAGTGAATAAGACCCGTTTGGTGTGAGAGACCTGAACGAACGTCACCGAGGCTTCAGACAGTTGTGTGGAGAGGACCAGGCAGAGCGGGCGATTGAAAATCTGCTGGCCGGCTGAGAGCTGTTAAACTTGGGGGAGAGGAGCAGGAAGCAGCGCTGCAACCATTGGACAAATAAACAACCGCGGTCGGTCGATTTGGCTCTGACAACTACGCCGTTCACTCGCGGTAGGAGCTCGGAGTTAACTGCTTTTATTAACTTTAACTAATTTGCTTTAGTTTTTGGGATTTCAACGTTGATTTATCTTCACTGGAGCTTCTCAGCAGCTTCCGTGCACATCCGGTTCCACTGTTGTTGTTGTTGTTCGCGTCGTTAGCTCTGTTACGACTTCATATTTATATAAAAACCGGACAAAACTGGACAGTACTTGGAGAAAAGAAAGCGAGGAGGTTGAACTACCTGGTGAGTTTAGAACATGTGTCTGTAACTTTATTCCAGCTGTCGTTGTACTTTACTGTGACCAAGTTAGCTAATAGCATAGCCCTGATCGAACCAAACTCCATTCAGAAAACAAACATTTTAGAAGTTGTTGTCCTGCTGTCTTGCTGGCAGACCTGACAAAGCATGAATTCAGTTTAACAAAAATCTGCATCATGTTGTAGTTATTTCGGCATCAGTTTGACCCGTTTATTGCTATTTTATCACAGCAAATATTTACTTTGGGTTCATACAGCTGTAGGAATGGCGAGTTGTGTTTATTCACCTTCTCACGTTGTGCGTGAACACTTGCAGTGAATGTACTCAGGCGAGGCAAAAATTCGCGTTTGGTTTGAATGCGGCATAAGTCTCTTTGGATAAAAGCGTCAGCTAATGAATAAATAAAGAAGATCACAGCCACAGAGGGAAATCTAAAAACAGACATTTAAATACAAAAAGAAACAGAACAACATTTACATGGTAAACCTGTTTGTTGACTCAAAAGAGTAAACTCAACAAACATCAAACAGCTGATGTGCAAACAAAATATTATTATATATACATTATAAGAGGAAAAAGAAAATAAAAGCAGGTCTTAGATTTGACAGAAGCTTATTTTAGTTTCTAAATGATGAAAATATGTCACAGTGCAGAAAGGTTTGTGTTTTGTTGATAAAAGCAGGCAGCCGGTCCGCTCTGTTACTACACTTTAGAGGAGCTGATCGCTCACTGCTGCATCAGGAGACGCTTCTGGTTCCCTGGCCGTCTGTCTTCTACGCTTGCAGACCAGCACTCCTACACCAGCTAAAGCAGCCAGTCCCAAAGCTGCTGCCAGTCCAGCATACAGCCTGTAGTCCGCGTCCTCGGTGTCTCCAGACCCGGGACCTGGAGACCAAAGAGCACATTAGTCAGAAGTGACTGAGCAGTGGAGCAGCCTCCGTTTCCTCTTCTCTATCTTCCTTATGTTGGACTCTCAGAACCTGCAGCTCCACAAACTCACCTGGGTCTGGAACCTCCAGGCGGATCCTTCTGATGGGAGGCTCCTCAATGAGGGACCTCTTATATCTGGATCTACCTGCTGCGACTCGACACTCGTACGTCCCGGCGTCGCTGCTGCTCACGTTCTTCAGAATTAGAGACACGTCTCCGTCCTTCAGGTCCCGGTCCAGCAGCTGGACCCGGCCTTTAAACGGGGTCTCTGTGTGTCCATCTCTGAAGAAGAGGACCGGAGACTCCGGGTTGGTTCTGGTCCACTCTACGGCTCTGATGGGGGCCCTGTGAACCTGACAGGGCAGAGTGGCGTCATCTCCAGGGTTCACCTGGACCACATCAGGGTCTAAAATGCAGAACGGAGAGGAAAAGGTTTACATTTCAGAAGGACTCCACAGGACCAGGGGTCTCATTTATAAACAGTATATAAACAGGCTGGAAACGTGCGGACGCCACTTCCCAAGCAAAGGTTGTGATCTATAAAAAAACAAAGTTGACGGGAGAATGTGCGTCCTGTAAGTAAACTCTGAACCATGCCTACGCACATGAAGAGGATAAATGAGAAACTGTTTGAAGTGAACAGGCCTACTGCTGTGTAAAATATGTTGAAATATTACCTCTGAGTATTACAGGCCTAAAGCCTTTCTAAATAATCAGACACTCGTTTGATTGATTTTCCCTGAAGTGCACAATATAAAAAAAAAAAAAAAACTAGTTTAAGATAATTTGCGGCGCAGAAAAAGAACCATGACTGAGGATCATAAACACAAACGGAGAATGTTTCTGCAAAAGAACACCTCAAATATGTTGGACATTTTAATCAGGAATCAGATTAATTACTTGTATGAAATACAATTTATTCTCAAATAAGATGAACAGGAGGACAAATTATATTTAAATTGATGCTGTTTTCAACGCGTCAGTCGAGCAAATACAAGTGAATATTTTCATGTATTGTTCTCACATGTTCGCTTCCTTATAGAGCTAAACGCTGAGCGCAGCGTCTGGATGTGATGCGCTGCTTGTGAAAACAATAACACTATTTTAATGTCATTTACAACAAGTCACAGGCACATTTCTTTTAACTCGTTTTTATTGGGATATTACAAAGAGCTGTTTTAAGGCACTCTTTTATAGCCATAAGTTCAAACTTACTTACATTCAAATACAAACCAGAAGCCTTAGAAAACATGTTGATTACATCAATTGCAACAGAAATTTTTCATTTTTCAGGAATAATGTGGTGTCATCTGCCAGCTGAGTTATAATTAATTCTCTCCCTATAAGAGAGACACCTTTCACAGCACTGGATTTAATATGGTTTGCCAACAGTTGAGCTACTAAAAGGAAGAGGTACGGGGAAGTGGGGCAACCCTGTCTAATGCCTCTAGACAGATTAAATCGTGGGGACGTACCACCCATAACTTTAATATACTGTTGCTGTTCTTATATAGAGTTTTAATAGCTGTACAGAAAAAATGACCAAAGCCAAATTTCTTTAAAGACTGTAAGATGAACTGATGCTCCACAGTATCGAAAGCTTTATAGAAGTCTAAAAATAAAATAAACCCAGTATCATCAATCAAATGTGCGTAATCTAGGACGTCTAGGACAAGGCTAATATTATTGGTTATATGTCTTTTGGTCATGAAGCCTGACTGTGTTTCTTCAATAACAGAGTTCAGTACCATTTTAAGTCTTTTAGCCTGTAGTAGAGCAAATATCTATAATCATTATTAAGACAAACATATTGGACGCCAATTGTCAATAAGTCATTTGTCTTTGTTTGGTTTGGGAATTATTGTGGTCAGACCTTGAGTCCTGGTTGTTGGAAGAGATTCTTTTTCCATGGATTCGACAAAAAGTTCAAAGGTCGGTCCATCGGTACCTGGTGATTTGTTGTTTTTTTAGGAGATTAACTGCTTTCCTAACTTCAAATGTGACAGGGTTATCACATAACTCCATTTCGTTTTCATTAATAGATTAAACTGTCAGAGAGTTCGTAAAAGACACAGCTGATTCTTGGCAGAATTTGGAGCTATATAAATCTCTATAAAAGTTACCACAGTACCTGGATATTACTTTGAAGTCCTCTGTAACAACCCATTAATATTTAGTTTATCAATATTGTTATTATTAGAATGATGTTTTTCTAAATTGAAAACATAATGTGAGTTTTGTTCTCCTTCTTCAAGCCATTTTGCTCTAGATCTTTTGCTTTTTGCAATGTATAAATCATCAAGTTTAACTTGCAGACCTAATTCTGTTTTCCTCCTCTAAAAGTATATCTGGGTTCTTTTGAGATAAAAAGGTGATCTTTGTTATTACCTCTTCCTCTTCAACGCTTCTGGATTTGGCTTTTATTACCATATTTACCATATTTTCTTAAAAACTTACCAACCTTGAATTCTAAAAGTTCCCAATTATTTCCAAATGTTTTTTCTTCCTTAGTTTTGGACCAAAAAAAATCAGAGATGTAACCTCTTTTTTAACTTCCTCATTTAATAGTAGAGAGCTATTGAGTTTCCAGTACACTGACTGAGCAGCGACATATTTAATTATGGAAAATGTATTAAATTATCTTAATGTGTATCGCCTTATGATCTGTAAGAGGAGTGGGCCATATTTCCACATCAATAAGATCTTTATTAAAGGTCTCCGACACTAACCAAAAATCTATCCTTGATTGACTGGAGCCTGTTTTATTACTCCAACTATATGACCTGTTGTTAAGATATTTTTTTCTCCAAATATCTACAAGCCTGAATTTGTCTGCAAAGGCTGTTAAGTTGGCATTGTTTCTGTTTGGTTGACCAGGTGGCCATTTCTCCAAAATACCATCCAGAATCCAGCTAGATCACATTCTGTAAGTAGGATATCTCCAATAAATCTGTCCAGCTGAACGTTCTGTACCGTGAGAAAGCCATATGGAGTTACCCCACCGAGGTCTCCAAAAAGTGGCATCATTTGGAAGAGAATGAGATTCTTGTAAAAAGAAAAAAATCTGACTTGAACTGTTTAGCAAAAAGAAATATAGCTTTACGTTTAACACTATCACATACCCCCCTAGCACTGAGTGATACAAAGGAAAGAGTTAACATATTAACACAGGAACACAAAATTTGGATAAATTTCAGAACACCTAGGCTATTTAAAGCTCTAAGAAGCATCTCTGATTAAACACTTGAATTAAAGTTGGTTGCGTTTCTGCCCATTTAGAAGCTGATGAGTAACAAAGAATAAATTAAATACGCCCAGGCAGATCAACATATATATGAGAGAAGTAAGGCCTCACATTTTTAAACGGGGAGGCAGAATCCTCCCATCGATAAATCAGAACCTGATAGATTCAAGAAGAGTTTTCTCTGTGAAGAATGTCTACGGATGAATTTCCAGTCCATTAAAAAAGCCTTTTCCTCCCAGAAAGTAGGCTGACTTCCCCTCCTCTCGTGCCTTCTTGATCGTAGGCCACAGTTTCTGTCCGTCTTCCTTTGTCAAATCCTCCCTGAAGCGCAAACCTTTTCTTTGAAGAAAGTTGGCAGCAGTTCTTTGCAGCCTTCCAAACTGCCTCCCTGTGCCGCCGTGAGATGAACCTGAGGGTTATGCCGCGGGATCTCGGGTCGCGGTTTTCCAACTCGATGAGCAACATCTATGTTGTCTGGAAGCTTTTCTTTCTTTTCTTTTCAGTCCATACTTTTCATGGCAGTCTCTTCACTTTTCTCCACACAAAATAAAGAGATTCACAATGGTGCATAAGTTCTTATCTTTAGATTCAAAGTAGCTAATGACATTTTTCCTTTCAACTGTGATTGTATGTGTTGTTTTAGAATATATGTAATTCTCAAGGTTCCTCCAGAATGTGCTGCAGAATAGAAAATAGAAAAGATGATTTAAAGTTTCTTGTTCTGTTCTACAAAAGGTGCAGTTGTTAACAACAAGCATGAATTTTGAGATAAGCATGTTGGTTGGATATATTTTATGCAAAATTTTCAAATGTAATTCTCTAACTTTGTTTGTAATACAGAATCTAAAAGGAACAAGCCGTGCTTTACACCACTTAATATTGGAAAACTGAGAATTAGCCACCAGGTGTTATTTTCTTTAAATTTAAAAAGCATTTTCTAATGTGTTTGTTAAAATATCAATATTATTTATATAAAGATTATGTGAAACTGGGCACTTCTTGCTGTTTCTTATAGGTTTTCATTAGTTCCAATAAACCATTAGGTATAGATTTAAAGACTGAGCTATATTCTCTGAATGTTATTGGGAATGCCTTCTCTCTAAGAAAGGACTCATACTAAATTAATTGACCGTTACAATCAAATAAGTCCCTTAAGAAGATGATAATTCTGTCAATCCAGTTTTGTAAATAAAGTGACTTGTTCCTTTTGGTGATGCATTCATTATTCCATATAATAGACTTGTGTGGGGAGAAGCTATGAGAACAGCACAGCTTCCACGCTAAAAGAGCTTGTTGAAAAAATCGGGACAGTTTTAACTTTGTGATATTATAGTGACACTTCAACAAGAATTGGAGACCTCCAACTTCTTTGAAAATGTTATGTGGGATAAAGTATCATAATGAGTCGGGTGCATTTAAGCATTCTTTTAACCATTTCACCTTGAAGGTGTAGTTCAAGTCACAAAAGTCCAAAAGTCCAAAGCCGCTTCCTCCTTAGAGCCAGAGAGCAGCGCTTTTTTTAAGTGACGGTGCTTATTCTTCCATACGAAGCTTATGAGTACGTTATTAATGTCTTTGCATGTTGAATCGTGGACACTGAGGGGAGAGCAGGGTAGACAAATCTTGACATCCCTTCTGCTTTAGTCAGGAGTATTGAAATGTCTCTTTGAAGCCATAAGCTCAGGTCTTCTTCAATTTAAGAGAGAAGTTAAGTTTCTGACATTCCATGTAGTCCTTGCAGATATTTTACACATTTCTTGACTGATATATTAAACAATTGCTTATCATCAGTTTGATATAAACATAAAATTTCACATTTAGATTTGTTGAGTGTTAATCCAGAAGCAGCAGAAAATTGGTCAATTAAGGATATAGCATATTCAATCTGATGTTTGTCCTTTAAAAAAAGGGCTGTATCATCAGCTGACTGAGTCAATCAGATTTCTTTACCAAAAATAGACAAACCTTGAATATGTAGTGACAGTAGTTCAACCACCAGCAGGAACAAAAAAGGTGAAATACGGCAGCCCTGGCGAACTGATCTAAGTACAGGAAATCTTTTGGTGGTATTTGGGTAAAATATAACACAACTGTCAATATTTTTATAAAACATTTCTACAGTGGATATAAGTTTTGGTCCAAAATCAAATGTTTGGAGTGCTTTGAACAGGAAGTAGTGGTCTGCAGGATCAAATGCTTTACAGACATCGAGAAATACAATCAGAGCATCGGTTTAAATTTTATCAGAATAGTCCAGCAAGTCAAGAACAAGTCTTATATTTGAACTTATGTGACGTTTACACATGAAACCTGTTTGTGTTTCATTTATGATCTCGTGAAGGCCTTTTTTTAAACCGCGTAGCAAAAATGAATGACAATATTTTATAATCAGTGTTTAAGATAGTTATAGGTCTCCAGTCTGGCCTTGCTTCATACTTGTGGACATTTCTTTTTTAGCATTACATTCTTTGAATAATTCAAGTAGAGGACTTTCAATGATGTCCCAAAAATGTAAATACAATCCAACAGAAAGCCCATCATTACCCGGTGATTTCCCTTTTTTCATCGACAAAACAGCTTCTGAAATTTCTATTTTTGCAACGGGCCGTTCACAGTTTAAAGTGTTCAGATATAGTTGGAGTGAATTCTTTAACTGAATCAATGAATTCATCACAGTCATCGACTTGAGTATTTGTCTTATGTATATATTGCTATAAAATGAGCCAACATGTCTAGAGATGTCCAAAGGATTAGAGGTCATGTTATCATTAATTTTAAGGATATTTATATTATTTCTTTTGCAGTTTCTCTTCTCTAAAGCGAAGAAGTAACTAGAGTTTCTTTTCCCCTTTTTCTAGCCATTTTGCTCGGGACCTTATAAAGGCCCCTTTAGTCATTTCAATATACATGTTGTCCATTTCCTCCTTTAGTTTCTTCATTCTTATTTCTTCATTTTCTGAAATTTTATCTTTAATCAATAAAGCATTTAATTCATCCATAATACATTTTTTTTGGCTATTTTTTTTATTTATTTCTTTACTTCATTTTATTGCTATTACTCTGATTTTGTACTTGAAATATTCCTTTCCTGATTCCTTTCATTGTTATCAAATATGTTTTTTGCAGTTTTTTTCCCACCAGATCACAGAATCCCTCATCATTTAATCATTTATTATTTAGTTTCCAATAACCACGTAAATGATTGTTTTGTTGTTTTGTTCCTGCTAAATGGATTGAGATTACTTTCTGATCAGAAAGTCGGGCATAACTATGAGCTGATTCTGAAACAAACTGTAGACAAGAGCGAGATATAAGCCATAAATCAATTGTAGATTGTAGGGATCTATTGGCATTTCTCCAAGTAAACTCATTAATGTCTGGGTTTAAAAAGCGCCACACATCTATAATTGACAGCTGTACTTTTGAATCTTGAATGTGAGATTAGTCTTGCAGGTATTCTATCTACAAGATCATCTGGAGCATCAATATAATCTCCCCCAATGATCAAGTGTGCTTCCTTATATTTGATTATAAGGGCTTTCAGATGTGTGCAGACTGTTAGGAGCTTTGCTTTTGCTTGACCTGTATTGTTGTAGTTATATAAATAGCAAACTATAAAAACGGAATTGTCTAATTTGAAAACTAAGATTATCCCTCTGCCCTCTTCTGACATCAACTATGTCTCCTTTAAACTTAAGGACGGCGACACCTGCTGATTGTTGAGAGGAATGGCAGAAATAACATTGTGCTTTCCAAAACTTCACACCACAGTCTACTGAACATAAAAATAGATTTTCTTTTGGTTCTGTCACGGATACCTCTGACATTAAGAGATATTATTTTTAAATAAAAAAATGAAACTATTAACTGGAAGTCTGTTAAAGGTTGTAGGAACTAGCTAAGAAAAAAACCAAACTCTTAAGATAGAGAATATCAGGTAAATAAGCTTATCACCAAGTTGAATACTCGAGTACCTGAAATATTTAGTGGGATGAACGTGTTGCTCTTATTATCAAATGAACCCATTGAGACTGGGTGACCTAATAAGCCTGGAGTTCAAACTGAACTGCTGAACTCACATTAAAAGTCGTTTAACTTTCTCAGAGTCTCACACCATCGATAACGACAGCAGGTTCCTGCCATTTGGTCTTCTTTCCATCAGCTTGCTTCACTCGAGGCCAGAGTCTTTCCAGCTGAGTGAGATTCTTTTCCTTCATGACATCGGCGTTGAGAGAAGCTCTCCAAACCTTCAGTCTGAAGGTGCGCATGGTGGTAAACTGTATGAGGACGGGGCGGGTGCTTTTATCCCGTCTTGGCTCTTTTCCTCTGGGATGATTTCAGCAGTGACCTCCAGCACCTCCTTTCTCACATCCTCATTGTTGCTTTCTGGTAGATTCAGAAGTCGGAGGTTCTCCTGCTGTCACGCTCTGGATCTTCTTGTTTCCTCCTGCGATCTGTTCTTTCATCGTCTTCACTGTGTCATCTGTTCCTTTCCACTGGATTTGCAGCCCTTTCTTATCTTATTGCAATCTCAGCTGTATTTTTGATTACCATTTCTTCAAACTTTGAACAGCGATCATTTAGGCCGTTACTGGCTTTAAGCGTGTCAGCGTTGGAGACCGTCTCATGTTCTGCAGACTTTCTTGGGGTTTGCGCGGTCCGTGGGTGTGACGGGTAGAGCTGCACGTAAACCAGAGAGACACATCTATTATCAAGCCTCCTTTTTTTTTTTTTTTTACATTCTTGGCATCTCTCTTGAACATCTTGGCTCCGCCCAGCTGCCTGGACACGTGGTGTGATTCTTCCGCGCTCGTATTGGGGCAGGGCATTGCGCACGCTTAGCAGCCCATTGGTTCATTTTCTGCTACTGTTCCAGTAAATTAAATGGATTCTACCACAGACTGTGAAAAAGTTCACTACAGGTCAGCAAACAGCAGCAGAAACAGAGAAACACTCAGATATTTAACTATCTCACTTAATGTGTTTCTATCAACAAGCTGTTTCACTAGTTATTAATAGTAATTAAAAAAAAATGTACAAGTCGAAATGAAAATGTTACCAGAAACTTATGAACAGATCTGAACTGCAGAGCCACATATAAATATTAGTAGCTTTTAAACTAATAAATGTGAATAAATGTTAACCAGGCTCGCCAGGAACATCTCCTCCTCTCTTCACTGTGAAGAAGTTATTTTCTAACTCTGCTCTAAAAGTCTTTTTGTCTACATGAATGCTCGTCTTTACCTGAAGCTGCTGGAGACAGAAGGAGCAACAGGAGCACAAAGTTTTCCTCCATGAGGACTTAAGATCCACCTGATGAAACAGACTTGATGAAACAGCCTAGTTAAACTCTGCAGGGTGAGCATGACACATGCTGCCTTCAGGGGCGGTCGGAAATGTCGAAATGAGAAAGGGGGCCGCGCAAGAGAAGGTCAAAGTGGGGGTTAATTTAAGGTGCTGCAGCTAGAATCTGACATTTAAATGGAGACTTTATATTTCTGATCCAAAACTTCCACTTTTTGTTAAAGTCAGTGAATATTTCCTAGCTCTCCGGTTTTATTTCCTGTGAAGAAACCCGGGATTCCTACACAGATATGGGTCAGTGAACATACGTACAAAGGGCGGACTCAGACCTGGTTAAAGGATGGCATGATCTCAAGCTGCACAGAAGGAGAAGAAGTCATGTGAACATCTGTGCTGCATTACAGCACTGGAGGAACCTGACTAGGCCTACTTCAGTACTGTAAAGTCAGATTTTTACACACAAACACATGAAGAGTTTATAAAATCTGATGTTTAACAGTTTAAACAAGCGGACAGGAGTCTCACACTGACAGGGAGATTCATTTTTATTTTTTTTTTAATGTAAAAACATTTGATGGTTCCACACATGAAAGATCTGCTGCTTTTCCTTTATTTGTAATAACGTTGAGCTCTGTGCTGCTGGTTCGACAGAACAAAGCGTTATGAAGGAGTCACTTTGGGCTCTGGGTCACTGTTTTCAGTTTCTACAGTCAGCTGATTGATCCAGAATGAAAAGAGTCTGAGCTCCTTTATATTAATTCACATGGAATAATACTGTAAAATAATATATATATATATAAACACACAGTCAGAGGACATTCAGTACTTTTAATACCACTAATAAGGACATTTTCCTGATTATACTCACCATCTTTTACTTTAACAGTATTTTTACAGTGTGGTTATTATTATCATCATCTTACACCAAACTACCTCATCCAAGACCTGGATCACCTTCTGTTCATAGTGATCGGTCCGAGCTGGTGTGTCGGGTCCTAGCAGGTCTGTGATACAGCAGGAGCCTGTAAAGCCTCAAACCTTCAAAATCAGTTCTAAAGCCAACATGGAGCCAGAGTAATGAGGCTGAAACAGGAGAGCTGCGATCAGGGTTCTTGGTTCTGGTTCTGCAGCCTGGCCGCTGAGTTCTGAACGGTCTGCAGCCGATCAGCAGATCAGTGATCCAGGCAGGTACAGGTAAGAGTGTTCCTGTGGCCCAAACAGGATGAAATCAAAAGGTTTGATAAAGTCTGAAATGAGAGAAATGTCCTGCTTACTGTCTCCTTTACTACCTGCAGTCCAGGACCAGGAGCTGCAGTAAAGGGGCTGTTAAATGGACCAGGTTCTGGCCTTTCTACCTGCATGAACATCAGATTCCTGTAACTCCTCAGGTGATCCTGAGTTTAAAAGACCAAACCTTCAAAATAAAGCACTTTATTCAGAGCAGCTGAAACAGAAATATAAACCTGGTAAATCTGAGGCCCAGAGCAGCAAAGACAAGACTTTGATATAAACTGTCCACACAGTGTCCTCTCAGGGTCTCCTGAAGCGTCTTCCTGAGGACGCAGAGTCTGTCCTGATGCTGCCGGGCTTCTCCAGGCGTCTCCAGGACTCTGCCTGCACACAGCCGACTCACTGTTGCTGCTGCTGGTCCTGGGACTGTCCCTCTTCACACCAGGACGAAGGAGACGCCTGTAACAGAGGGGAGACCAGAGGACACGTCAAGCTGACTAAAGTTTCAGACCTGCCCGCTGCAGTCCTCTGGTTCTTCAATGCAACCTGTTTTAACACGCGTTTGTGGGCGAGCCGACCGGGCCGCCACAGAACACGTGCAGGAAAGTCCATGTATGGTGGTGATCGGTGCACACGTGTCACTACCGGCCAGCTCAGGGAGAATCTGAGGCGGCGTCTCAAACCTCCCCAGAGGAAGACGTCCAGTCCGTCCTGACAGCAGCACTACAGGAGGAAACTCTGAACCACTGAACTGCTCTGCTCTGCCAGCTGCATCATTTCAACATGATAACTACGATGTTCCAGTCAGTGATCATGAAAGATCACTGTTCACTGATCAGCTTTATAGGTTACATATTAAACAGTGATTACTGCAGTGATGTGTTTCACTGTCCACAGAGTAGATAAGATAACTCTGTCCTTACATGGACGACAGATTGATCAGAAAAGCGGTCATGTTCGAGATCATGTTTGGATGAAAAACTTCTATCTAACCGGGATTTTGTGTCAGACAGCTGCTTCAGGCTCCGCAGGAGGAGGCGGAGGAGGAGAGAAACTGACGGTTTTCCAACTGATGCTGTGAACCTGACCTCCTCCCGAGGAGTTTCCTTCATCTCAGGCTCAACATCCCAATCTACGTGAAATCGTACCCCGCCTTGGCTCCTCCCAGAAATTACTACGCAAATGACCATAAATACGCCGACGCCACCTCCTGAGGTCCAAATAACAACGGCTGCTGCAAACCAGTGGCCTGCGCTAGGAAGGGAGGAACTCGGGTAACAAACTCTGACCGCTGCACTGGAGTTAATCTACGACGGCGCGTTCGCATAAAAGCTTTTCGGCCGTTTTCGCAACGCCGCATGCTCCGTATTTCTCCAGAGGAACACGCGTTGGTAGTGTCGGGGAAATTATGAATGTAAAGACACGTTAACGGCTAAAATCTAATATCGTGGCGGACGACAGAGCCGGGGAGGCCTGTTGGCATCGCATGGAGTAAATTTGTAGCCTAATTATCTTCACAGTGTTCTTATTGTAGTTCAAATCTCTATTCTGTATTTTATGAGCTCTTTTATGTGTAATATGATTAAGATGTAAAGGTCCACTGTAATAGGAAAAAAGGAGAATTTAATTTCCAAGATTATTCTACAAGTAAAAAACTTGAATATTCTGTCACACATTTAATAATAATAATTTGAATTTGTATAGTGCTTTTCACGAACTCAAAGTCGCTTAAATTTATTACATTTATGAGAGAAACTTCACTTTTCAAGGCTGCAACATAACACACACGTCTGCAGTGTGTGATGCATGCACTGGAAAGTGATATTATTATATTAGACTGCAATCAGATTCAGCAGTGAGGAAATACTGGTGAGTTTAGCCCATAATCACCACCGCGCACCTCAGAGACTTTGCCTTGGATTGGGCGTATTCAGAAGAAATTCTTTGTGACATTAATTTCAGGGAATTTCTGATTTTTCTCGGTTATTAACCCTGTCAATCTAAATATGTGAAAAAACTCAGGAGAATTCAATTACAGACCACAGACGGCTCCGTCTCAGAAACTGTCCACCTTTCGTAGTACTCGTTAATCAGGAAGTTACCTGGTTCCCTCGCTTCGTAGTACAGACCTCTGGTCTAAACAGAGATCGAGGTGCTGATCACTGAGGAGGAGAGAAGAAATATTTTATTTGATGCTTGAACTGAGATCAGCAACAAACGCAAAACGACGGCGTGTCAGAGTCACAATGCCGCTCAGAGACTCAACACGGTCTGACATGAAGTGAAGGTCAAATAAAACTGCTGGTTTAACGTTTAAATGATATGAAGTGAAGTTAAATCTGTGAGAGGCATCATCATCTACTCCTCTCACAGTCACTTTTATTTTGTATTAACGGACATAATTTGGTTTTTGATCGACTTCTTCACTGACGGATGCACAGAAACTGAAGTAGAAGCGTTGATTTAAAACAGTTAAATCTTTCAAATCAGGACTTTAAGTTCACCGACAGAGCCAGACGAAGGTTTGCTGAGGGTCCGCACATTCTCACGTCACGTACATGTTTATACATCCCACGTGTGCGTGAAAACCAGCGTACGTAACCTTTTTGTGCATATGTGGCGTTTATACACGAGGCCACACAGAGAAGATCCACACACTGAAACAGAAAGTGTTTGTTTAACTCAGGATCTCTGAGTAACTCACATGTGTCAAAGCTGGGATCTGCAGGGTCACAGGTGGCATCCAGCCCTCCTCCAGGTCCAGGTCCAGGTCTCTTTATAGGTGAGCATGTTAGAAAGGCCTGAGCAGCTGCACAGGGAACTGAGGATGTCCCTCCACCAGAGTCTCTGCAGCACAGAGACAGGTTTTAAGAACACAAGTTACGAGACAAATACTCAGCAATATTACTGCAGAGTAGCACAGACGTGAGACAGAACAAACCTGGACCAGAGGAGCAGGGAGGAGTCCTCGCTCTTCTGTCAGGAAACATCTCTGCTGGCCTGAAGCAGGAAACACTGACAGGTTAGTCCAACAGCTGCAGTTCTGTCACAAATACTAGTACTGCAATAACGTTCGGTGTATCTGTGGATCGGAAAGGTTGTTAGTCTCTGGGCTGCGACGCTGAAAACAGCTTCTGATTGAAGAGTTGGGGAAAGTGAACCCCGCTGAGCGACAGGTTCTCTGGGTTCTGCTCTTCCTGTGAAAGCTGGCAGGCCTTTTAGGAAAAGTCTTCACGCGGTCTGAAACACTTTACACGGTTCATAAAACCTTTATTTTGTTTGTGAAAATGAGAAAAGGATGATTTCACTGCTCTTTTTTTTTTTGCCAGTAACCCACATTAGACCAGGTCCTAAGGTCCTGATCAAAAACCAGTACACCTAGACCTGCCAAATCTGGATTACATTTTTCCAGAGAGAGGAAGTTTCTTTAAAACGGCGTTTAGAATCAGAAGCTACTTCAGCGTCGTGTCTGCGCTTGAAGCTGCCCAGACGACCACCGATGGCTTCAGGTACGAGCAGTTCCCACGTAGGTGACCACAAACACATCAACACCATCAGGACACAAATCAGACAACACGACCATTTAGAGGACTGGCAGCCCTCAGCCGAGCACACTAGCTGCCAGCCAGGTCATCGCTGCGTTTCCTGCCGAGCGTCACAGTTTCACGACTTCTCCATATCAAAGAAGAAAGTAAGGTTTTATCTTGACCATTGAAGGACAGGACAAGTCAGAATGTGTCATTTGTGGCGAGAAGCAAGCTCATGACAGCATGAAGCCATCAACAAACAAAACACCAGGACTGCTGGTGAAGCCAAGAACTTGGCAGCGATTTACACAGAGGCCTCATTCGAGTGTTCGCTATTAAAATACCATTCAGTTGGATGAAACGACAACAGTGTCAGACGAGTCCGTGCTCATGTGCAATATATTCACGGCAAGGATTTGCAACAAGACATTCTTATGTCCACCAATCTGACCACAACAACTACAGGACAAGATATTTTTATGGCTGTGGACTCGTCATCCAACAACCTGCCCTACAGAGAAGCTTGCTGCACTGATGCCGCTGCAGCAGGATTTAACTGCCGTCTGAAGGAAAAAGCCCCAGGGTGCATTGCCAAGCATTGGCCAGTAAAACACTTTCTGAAGACCTCGGTGACACCCTGACAACTAAAGTTGGAAACTTCATCAAAGCTCGCGCTAGGAACAAGAGACCGTTTGCCCAGCTGTGAGGACGCATCAAACACTGCTGTTACGCACAGAGGTACGCTGGTTGTCGCGCGGACAAGTGCTTGTGCGTTTTATTGAACTGCAGGAAAAAATGATGGAATTCTTGCATGATCACAACTGACACCTGCACGAACAGCTGACTGACGCTTTCTGGAAGTAAACGGCCTACTTACACAGATTTACTCTCTACAATTAGACAAACAAGCGGAAGCAAGGCCCTGAATCACACGTCATGCAGTGCAAAGACGCTCTCAGCGCATTTGTGCGCAAAATGGAATACAGAGTTGGGAAAATGTCAAAAAGGAGAGCTGCTACAATTTCCACTGTGGCACTGTGTGTGCGTCTTTACGCACCGAGTTTACCCCACTCATGAACTTGCTCCAGGAGGAAATGTTGACGAGTACTTATCAAAAGGATCGTGGGTGATGGACCCGTACGTTTCCAGCCTGGAGCACGTGGAATACCTCGGCTGTGAGGATGAGCTTGCAGCACTTCAAGCCGATTCTGTGTCAAAGAAATATTTCCAGAAATAAGGGATACAAAAAGTTTTGGATCGTCAAAGGACACGCTGTTGCACCCACACTGGCCAAACACGCAGTTAATTCAATTTCAATTTGATTTATATAGCGCCAATTCACAACAACAGTTATCTCACAGCGCTTTTCATAAAAGAGCAGGTCTAGACCGTACTCTGTGATGATATTTACAGAAGCCCAACAGTTCCCACCAAGAGCAGCACTAGGAGACAGAGGCAAGGAACTTCCTTTTAAGAGGCAGAAACCTCGAGCAGAACCATGACTCAGGGTGGGCGGCCATCTGCCTCGACCGGTTGGGGTGAGGGGGTGAGGGTGAGAGAGAGAGAGAGAAGAGAGAGAGAGAGAGGAGAGAGAGAGAGACTACACAATATACACACAGAGGTACAGACAGTGAAGGTAATGTTGCTATAAACTAAATGAAAAATGGTACAGATATTTATAGTAGTGTTAATGGTAACCATCGTAATGTTAATGATTATAATAACAATAATAACAATAGGACTAGCAACAATAGTCGTTGCAGCAGAGGGTGTCGAGCAGGAACACGGGGGCAGCAGGTGACCCGCAACCACAGATCCAGACTCCACAGCTCCAGAGCCAGAAACACCTGCAGGAAGTGATAGGAGGAGAGAGGAGAGGGACGAGAAAGCACAAGACTACCGGAAAGGGGAGAAGTTGTGTTAGTAACATGCAATAATGGGATGAGGTTGCATACAGAGGGAGAGAAAGTAGAGAGAGGAGCTCAGTGCATCATAGGAAATCCCCCGGCAGTCTAGGCCTATAGCAGCATAACTAAGGGATGGTTCAGGACTCACCTGAGCCAGCCCTAACTATAAGCTTTATCAAAGAGGAAGTCTTAAGCCTACTCTTAAATGTGGAGATGGTGTCTGCCTCCTGAACCCAAACTGGAACCTGGTTCCACAGGAGAGGAGCTTGATAGCTGAACGCTCTGGCTCCTAGTCTACTTTTGGAGACTCTAGGAACCACAAGTAACCCTGCATTCTGGGAGCGCAGTGCTCTGGTGGGGTAGTAAGGTACTATGAGCTCTTTAAGATAAGATGGTGCCTGACCATTAAGAGCTTTGTAGGTAAGAAGAATGATTTTAAATTCTATTCTGGATTTTACTGGAAGCCAATGCAAAGAAGCTAAAACAGGAGAAATGTGATCTCTTTTCCTGGTTCCTGTCAGAACACGTGCTGCAGCATTCTGGATCAGCTGAAGAGTCTTAATGGACTTTTTCGAGCAGCCTGATAATAAGGAATTGCAGTAATCCAGCCTAGAAGTAAATGCATGGACTAGTTTTTCTGCATCATTTTTAGACAGGATGTTCCTGATTTTCGCAATATTACGTAGGTGAAAAAAGGCGGTCCTTGAAATTTTCTTAATGTGAGACTTAAACGACATGTCCTGATCAAAGATAACTCCAAGATTCCTCACAGTGGTGCTGGAGGCCAGGGCGATGCCATCCAGGGAAACTATATCTTTAGATAATGCGTCACGGAGGTGCTTAGGCCCAGAGCAATAACTTCAGTTTTATCTGAGTTTAACATGAGAAAATTACAGGTCATCCAGGTTTTAACATCCTAAAGGCACATTTGAAGTTTAGCTAACTGATGAGTTTCATCTGGCTTGATCGATAGATATAACTGAGTATCATCGCATAACAATGAAAGCTTATGGAATGTTTCCTGATAATATGCCTAAAGGAAGCATATATAAAGTGAAGAGGATTGGTCCAAGGACAGATCCTTGAGGAACTCCATGAGTAACTTTGGCGTGCATGGAGGACTCATCGTTCATGTACAAACTGAAATCGATCTGATAAATAGGACTTAAACCAGCTTAGAGTGGTTCCTTTAATGCCAATGAAATGTTCCAGTCTCTGCAATAGGACCAGATGGTCAAAGGTATCAAATGCAGCACTAAGATCTAATAAAACCAGTACAGAGACAAGTCCTTTGTCTGATGCAATAAGGAGGTCGTTAGTAATTTTCACCAGTGCTGTCTCTGTGCTATGATGAGCTCTAAATCCTGACTGAAAATCCTCAAATAAACTATTGCTCTGTAGAAAGTCACACAGCTGTTTAGCAACTGCTTTCTCCAGAACCTTAGAGAGAAATGGAAGGTTAGATATAGGTCTATAGTTGGCTAAAACATCCAGATCAAGTTTGGGCTTTTTCAGAAGAGGTTTATTACAGCTACTTTAAAGTACTGTGGTACATAGCCTGTTGATAGAGATAGATTGATCATATCTAGTACAGTGGGGGAAAAAAGTATTTGACCCCTTGCTGATTTTGCAGGTTTGCCCACTTACAAAGAATGCAACAATCTACAATTTAATCATATGTACATTCTAACAGTGAAAGACAGAATCCCAAAGAAAATTCCAGAAAATCACATCATAATTTTAAAAATTGATAACCATCTGATGAGGAAAAACAAGTATTTGACCCCTGGACAAACAGCAAGTATTCTGGCTCCTACAAGCCAGTTAGTTCTTTCTTTAAGACACAGCCCAATCCCAACCAATTATCTACATCAAATACACCCGCCTCACCTCGTTACCTGTATAAAAGACACCTGTCAACACCCAAACAACCAGCATCCAACATCCCACCATGGGCAAGACCAAGAGCTTTCTACGGACATCAGGGACAAGATTGTGTTGATCTGCACAAGGCTGGATGGGCTACAAGAGAATCGGAAAGCACTTGGAGAGAAAAGATCAACTGTCGGTGCAGTTATCAGGAAATGGAAGAAGCACCACACCACCGCCAAACTCCCTCGGTCTGGGCCTCCACACAAGACTCTCGCCTCGTGGGTGTCCTGATCATGCGAACGGTGAGGAATCATCCCAAAACCACAAGGGGGAACTGATGATCAACTGAAGGCAGCTGGACCACAGTTACAAAAAACGGTTGGTAACACACTACGCCGTCATGGATTGAAATCCTGCAGCGCACGCAAGGTCCCCCTGCTCAAGAAGAAACATGTACAGCCCGCATGAAGTTCGCCATTCACCACCTGGACGACTCAGAAGAGGCCTGGAAGAAGGTGATGTGGTCATGAGACCAAAATAACTTTTTGGCCTCAACTCAACTCGTCGTGTTTGGAGGGCAAAGAACACCGAGTACAACCCAAAGAACACCATCCCCACCGTCAAGCATGGTGGTGGCAACATCATGCTTTGGGGGTGCTTTTCAGCCAAGGGGACGGGACAACTCCATCGTATTGAGGGGAGGATGGACGGGCCATGTATCGTGGAATTCTGGACCAACATCTCCTTCCCTCAGTGAGAGAGCTGAAGATGGGTCGAGGATGGGTGTTTCAGCACGACAACGACCCTAAGCACACCGCCAAAGCAACAAAAGAGTGGCTGAAGAAGAAGCACATCAAGGTTCTGGAGTGGCCTAGCCAGTCTCCAGACCTGAATCCAATTGAAAATCTTTGGAGGGAGCTTAAAATTCGAGTTGCCAGG